ATATTACAAGCTTCCATAACCAAACTACTAAATTCTAACTTTAAAGAGCTGTTAGAATGATTTTATAATACTAATTTTTCATCCTAACACACTAGCCATTAGAGTTCCAATCTGCTAAGAATATCTGGATAATTCAGACATTACAGCTGTTCCCATAAATTCTGGGACAACTGATAAAAATTTGACGATAAGCTTTTAATATCGGGTACATAAGCTTTTGATTTCGATATATTTTGGAAAATATTGACATAGACAATTTGGACCAATGGACATGGACATTTATGAGTGTCAAGTTTTTGTTTGATTGTGCCGAGCATTAGCTATAAGGTCCAAAAAGAGTAAATAGGATCTGTAACTACAATAAATTATGAGTTTATTTTTTTCGGCAACCGAAATAATTACGGCTGCCAAAAATAATTATGGCTGCCGGAAACAATTTCGGCTGCCGAAAATAATTTCGCCTGCCGAAAATAATTACGGCTGCCGAAAATAATTTTGGCAACCGTAATTATTTTCGGCATTTAGGCATTTTGATGAGGCTGCCGAAAATATAAAAAATGCCATAATGCTGTAAATCGCCCCGAATTTAGGCACACATGTATAATTACGGCATTGCGGCATTACGGCATTACGGCACATAATATTTACGCCAATTGGGTGCTGTGCCGTAATTAATTCTACCATATGGTAGAATGCCATAATGCTGTAATTCAGTAATTCTACCGCCAACACTAGGATCGGGTACTCTAAGTAAAATGCTCAGGACCTCATAGGACTGAAATTGGGACCTTATATCTAATAAAAGAAATCCCTAAAATTACACCCTAACCATAAAAATATATTAACACCAACACCATAGGTACACAATATAAGGCCACACAAAGTTAATTTTTGTTTTACATTACCCGCCGACCCATTTTTCAAACTTTCGAATTTTTTTTTTAAGTTCCAATTGAGCCAATTGTTCAATTTTTGCCATTTGATTTTTTTCCATAAATTAATCCGGTATCACCCGGTAGATACCTTATTTCTTGGAATTGTCTGATAGTACTGATACAAAAAATTCGACTACCGACCCAATTTTCTAATTCCACGATATGCAAACTACGTGTGGCCTTAAATATGAACATGAGTCTATTAATTACTGTAGATAAAAAAAACACCCGACCGACCGACTGTTGATTTTGAAATGCATGTAATTCAAAACGAAAAATTAACTTTGTATGACTTAATTATTCTCACTCGGATCACTTTATTGATATGAAGAAGACACTATGGGAGTAGTGCCACCCCGCTGTGGCTCAAATGCCCATACATTTACTTATACATTTCTAAATACATGAATACTCAATTTAATATGCGCACCTAAGTATTGCACAATGGTCACATGGCGAAAAAAGAGAGAATCACCATACCAAGGTGGCCAATGCAAAGGTGTATGCATCATTTCTTCACAATCTTTAAACATAATCATTAATTTTTTCACATTTCAATACTAAACATCAAATGAGCATCGTGAGAGCAAGTTGCTAAGCAATACCACCCACAAGTCAGCAAGCACGTCCCCGAGCATCTCAAATTCTTATTTTCTTTCTCCTTTTACAATACACATTCTTATTCCTTCTTTTTACAATACACATTCTCATTTTCATTCTTTTTTTTTTTTTTTTTTTTCTTTACAATACACACTAATTATACCCTTAAGTTTACTGCAAGCGTCAGGGAGCACATTACTGAGCAAGCCCACTCAAGTCAGTAAGCAAGTCCCCAAGCAACTCTGCTTATTTTCCTTCATACTATATTACAATACATAGCTATATGACATGCCTTTAGATTATAGTGTGAGCATCAGAGAGCATGTTACCAAACAAACCATCAAGTTGGTATGCTAGTCCCCAAGCGACTCAACTTATTCCCATTTCTTCAAGCAATTTCCTCTATTCATTCATTTACTTTTTAGTTTCTTATTTTCATTTTTCGTTTTCATTCATTCATTCATTTTTTTTTTTTTTTTTTTTCAATATACACAAATATATAATCAAATAATATACCTTTAGATTATGCTGCGAGTGTCAAAGAGCATGTTACTAAGCAAGACTACTCAAGTCAGTAAGCTAGTCTCCAAGCAACTCTATTTATTTTCATCTCTTCAAGCAACTCTGCTTATTCCTATTCATTCGTTTATTCACCTTTCTATATGTCATTTTCCATTTCCATTCATTCGCTTATTTCTTTAAATTATGCTGCAAACATCAGAGTGGAAGCCTCTACTTATTCCTATTTCTTCACTCACTTCCTCTTACTTAACCCGTCACCCTCTATTTTGTCTTTCTGGGTGGGGTGGGAGGGAACACACACGAAAGAGCCGGACAAAGTCAGGCAGCGAAGGAAAAAAGCACTATCGATCTCCAATCTACCTTTAACCTTAAATAGCTCACTTATTCCCATTGTAAACTCTAAATGGCAATCACAACTCCACAAATTACGGTTTTGGATTAGATGCTGATCCTCGCGATAATAAATTACCCGGGTAGACATTTTTATTATATAGCTTTAAATAAATTACCTGGGTAACCATTTTTATTATATAGCTATAATAAATTACCCGGGTAAAAATTTTCTTGCCGGGTACAGTCTACATGATCAAGCGAACGTAAATTATTGCTTTCTTTAGAAAAAAACGGTTATAATTCAAAATTTTGCTTATAAAACCACCTTTCGGATATTACCAAAAAAAAATTCTTTCCCACTCTTATTTGCATGTTACACGGATTTGCAAATTATAGCTGGTTTTGATTTAGTAGATCGGCGATCTGCATGACTTTTTTGAGTCCTGTGAGTAGAGCTACGTATTCGTTATTCAAATATTGAAAAATACTTATTTGATGAATAATTCGAATAACATATCTTATTCAAATAAGCAAATTTATTCGAATAATTTTCATTATTCGTCATGTGAGCCTTAGTCATAGACTGATTTACGCATAGTAACGATGTATGATTAGCTGTTCCGTATCTAATAACTATATGTTATTCGAATAAATAGTACTTATTCGAATTCTGTCAGGCATTCGGCAAATATTGGATAGATATTTCCGATATAAATTATTCAAATATTTTTTCGAATAAGGAATCCGCAAGATCTACCCGTGAGCCTATAATTACAATAAGAGAATCACCTCAACTTCACTATATTTCGTGAGACTCATTCTAAAATTCACATGCTTCCCTTTTATTGATAAATAAGAAAATTTCTAAATATAACAAATACTATATAACATTAGGTATTTTATACTAATATTTTGCGTAGATTATTTTTGTTAGAACCCCAAAAGTGGTTTTATAAGCAAATTTTGAGTTATAATTATTATCTCCTTATTTCATGTACTACTGTAGTTTACTAATAGAAATTGGCGCTAAATCATTAACTTTAAATTTTTTTCCATAAAAACCATCAACACGTTGTAAAGAGTGTCGACTGAATAATATCATACAATTTCAATCCAATAACCATGAATTTTTTATTCATAATTTTAAACAACATTATTAAACAAATTGATATTTTTAAAATCTTAATAATTGTAATATGTTTTTACATAATTCATTTTTATTACAAACACTTTACTCGTCCGAATCCTTTTCCTGGCCCAATACCAATTCCTCTGATAGGAAATCTCGAAATTCTTAAAAATTCCAACCTAGATATTGATGAATGGACTATAATTTAAATAAGAAATTTGGACAAAAGGGAATATTCGAATTTAATATGGCTGGTGTTAGATATATAATGATTAGTCGTGCAGAATATGTGAATAGATTTATGTTACCAGATCAAGAAGATCATTCGAAACATTTAATGAGAATTAATAAGAATAAGGGGCTTTTAGATTTATTTGATTTTAGTAACAAAGGAGTTGCATTCAATTGTA